CTTCCTACCAGGTTTTATTAAACCAGTTTCTCCAACTGTAAGGACCTTTTTTCTCATTAGTGTCTGCAGTTGAAACCTCCTGTTTTCTCACCTGAAAGACAACTTGATTATAAACTTCCATTCAGCTTCATTTAGGCATCATGGTATAAATATTGCCAGTATCCCTGCCTCTCACATAGTTCATTTTCTCCCTTTATAAAGTGATGTGAAAACTGAGGCAAATTTAAAAAAAGAAAAAAAAAGAAAAAAAAAAGGTGTTCTTATTCCCTTCACAGAGGAAACAACAAGAATTTGAAGAGAGAAAAGTCAATGTTTTTGCTGGGATTGTGCATTGTGCTCTTTCCTTATGTCCTGTCTTTTCTCATCATCATTGCCCCTTGACTTCAATCTGTCCATGCAGTTTGCAGCGTCGGCTGCAATGTCTGTCATCAGCCAATGTGGAAAACTTGTAACAGAATAAACTTCAAATATTAGCCCAGATAGCCTATTTGCAATGTAGTAAATGCACTTGTAAGTCAGCTGTTGGAACATGGTAAGCTTTTCCATAAAATGGTGGGAAGACTTGTCCGCCTTGAGCTGAGGAAGTCCTAAAAGGACTCACCGCTCCTTGCAGCGACCCATGTCAGTCTCACCACCACCCCTTCCCTTGGTGGATTTTTCAGGATTTACGTGATCGCTCTAGAGAATTAACTGCAGTCTTTCTACAGTGTTATGTAGAAGCAATATCAACTGCAGTCAGCAAAAAACAGAGAAGTGCAAACACAGATCTTGGCAGACAAATAAAGAAAGAACAGATTGTAAAATAGAAAAAGTTGATATTGTGTTTATTTGTAGGTCTTTAACCTCCCCAGCAGACTTTTTCAAAAATGATTAAGAGTTAGGGTTTTTCCAATATTTGCTTAAAAATAAGGTGAGGAGAAGTACTTCCAAAATACTTTTAAATATGTAGCCGCTAACAGTGTCTGCAGTATATGTCAAGTTGTTGTTTTCACATACAGAGATGAGAAAAATCAATTTAGGTTTCCAAAGGACAGACTTACTGATTGAGAAGGTCACTGAATACTTGCAGTTGCTCAGTGGACTCGGCACAAGATCCCATCTGCAAGGCACCACTGCCCTCCTTGCACTCAGAGGGGAGAGTAAGTGAACGCACGCACCAGAGAAATGTTGTTTATGCCCCTCAAAATAATCTTGCATTATCAATAGTAGGAGAAAGAAGGAAAGAAGACAGTCATCACATAGGGAGTTACGTATTCTGTAGCCTTCTCAAGCACATACCAAGGAATACTTTGATCCATGTTTTGAAATATAAGCATACTTGTAGTGCTTACTTGGAAAAAATAGTTTGAGAACTGCCCAGCCATTAACACAAAATATTACTGTTGCAGTGCTGTCAAGGTCGCAGCCAGCCTGGGTTATCTGCTGGGTAAATGCTAGTCACACAGATCAGGCTTAGCTAAGGGCTATAATTCATACACTCAGCATTTCATGGATTATGTCTTTTAGCTTCCCCTTATTGCCATTTTGGATATTCATTTAGCTGCAGTGTGTGACTGCTGTGATTTCTCATTGGGGTAATCTCCCCCTGTGGTATACTGTTTCTCTCTGTATTCTTTAATAAAATGTGTACAAATGAAAACTGTGTATGTAATTTTATGTATTTCTTGGATCACTTTTGAATAAAAATAAGGTAGTGCAGATTATGGGGGAAAATGCTATCAAAAAAAGTTACAAAAGTAACAAATATTAATAAAAAAGTTTCTGAGGTTAAAACATCTATAGGAAAGCCAGAAAATCTTGGATCTCTTTCTAGCTCTGACCCAGACTTTGTCAGAGGGATTCATGATTACTGGATGTCTTAGGTTTTATTTGGAAGATATAGATTATGATATTTCCCACCTCAGGGATCATTGAGAGTAACTGCATTCCTGACTGTAAAGCACTTCAAGATGCTTCAGGAGAAAGCTGTACAGCTTTACAGTACAGCTGTACTCTTTAATACATATACATATGCAATTGTAGTATCTTTCAGAACTGCAGGAAACAATGTTAAGAGTGATGGTGAAGAAAACAAAATTTTCTTTCCAATTCATTTCTGACTGATGTATTCTGTGTAGTTAAAACAGCTTCTAGATTGTGCAATACACAAATACAGTCCAATATTGAAGCACTGAATTCCTAAGAAAATGTGCATGTGCTCTACCATGTGTATACCAGGTTAGCTGTGGCAGTAATTTTAAAATAGACTATTTGGATCTATAGGTCCATACTGATGAGGAAAGAAAGATCACCATCTCTTCTGAGATATTATACCAAAAAAAAAATCTATCTTGTTCTGTAGGATCTTAATCTGGGGCCTTTTTTTTTTTTTTTTTGTCAATGCTGAAGTCTTTCTAACATATTGGGCCTTTTATTTAAGTTGTCTAGTTCTCATTTACAGCATTTTTAGCTAATTTTAACTGTTGTCCTACAATGCTGTGGTAGTTTGTTTGCATTCTTTAAATCCTACATGTGTAACTACCTTCATTGCTTTATAAAGTTGCCTGTTTCTTACCAGCTCTTGATTTGGTCAAGCACCTCAGTATAAGGCTTTCTTACTGCTTAGAAAGGCTAAATTCCTTAAGGTATTTAAGTGACCTTGAACATAATCACTTCTACAGCACAGTGGGCCTAAAACAAAACTCCAGAATCAACCAGACTGAAATAACTGAGATTAAAATTTGGCTCCCAGTGTTGTTGCCTCAGGCAGACTTTCTGTATGGGAGACAATCTGGCTCAGAAAAAGAAATTAAAAATGGGCATAGAGTTTCTTTTTTCCTCCCCTCCTATCTGGTCTGATCTTATTTGTACATCTGACAAAATAATCTCAAACATGTTCCAGCCTTTCTTGATGATTAATTATCAATACCTTTCTAATGAACTTTCCCTTCCTCCCTTCGTCTTACAAATGTCAACTCTTAAGATCTTCTGTCCATATGTAGACTCAAAGTACCTCAGGTCAGTTATATGGCTACTACATGTGCACATTAAGTTCATGTTACTGCCAGTTAAACACATGAATCACCCATGAGGATGCACCATGTTTATAAGTGAACATAGATAGAACAAACGTTCCTGTTTCCACTGACTTGCTTGTCAGTATGGAACAAATGCCTTAAACTGTCCTTTGAGCTTAGAATAAAATACGGAGAAAAAAATAATCATTAAATGATCTTAGTTCTTTAGAAAGGTATAAAATTATCCAGTCAGTTACTTGTTACTTTTACTTTTATGTCCTCTCCCACAGGAAAGACTTGATGAGGCTTCCACATTATGTAATGTAGCTATATTAATTGTAAAATAATCCACAAATAATACAGAGTATTTCTATTTTTATTTTGTCGTGTGTGGCACACAGGAAAAACTAGTGGTATGTTACCTCTGAATTTTTATTTCAAGCATGTTACATGGATTAAATGCAAAACCGATCATTAAAAAAAAAAAGCATATATGGCCTTAATTTACCCTCAGTAAATTACCTATCATATATGTATGATATGGACAGCAACCCCTTGGAAGTCTAGCAGTGTAGACATCCATTTTGCTCACAGGGGCCCTGTTGACTTAATCATGGTCCTTCCCTCCCATCAGCACTTCAAAATTGTTTGTAGGATTATAGACAGAACCTCCTTCACATGGCTGGAATTCTGGACTACTTTGAAAATCCCATGCCGCAGTTTAGCTTTTGAAGGATTTCTCTTTTTTTCTTTTTCTTTTTCTTTTTCTTTTTCTTTTTCTTTTTCTTTTTTATTCTCTTTCCTTTTCCCTTTTCTCTTCCTCTTTCTTTCTTCTTCTTCTTCTTCTTCTTTTTCTTTTTTTTAAAAAAGGTCATCATCTGTATTCTTAGATGATTTCACACTTTCATGCTGCTACTCCATCCTCAGCAAAAACATCCACAATCACTCTAGGCTCCTCTTGCTTCCACTTCTGCACCAGCAGCCTGGCAAGGGAGATGCCCTAGTGTTTAGACTCCAGACTCTTGCTCTCTTTGGTCCAAGAGGATAAGCCTTCCCTCCCTTGTACTCTTTGCTGCACTTTAGTTTTTATTCTTATCCTCATTTCACATAGACTTTACACTGACAACACCAGAAGCAGACACACATTCACCTCATCTTCTGTTGCTGTATCTCCTGGCTGTCTCAATATTTTCCAAAGATACATATGGCTGATTTCTTATAAGCCATGACCTTGTCCATCACCAGTGTAACTGCACTAACATAGGCATTACATGCATTGTGTTTTATAGTTCATAAAAAACAAAAGACTTATTTTTTCCATGTCCTCAGTATCACATACGGCTTCAGTCTTTTGTTGTTGATTTAAGGTTAACAACCTTATTGCAGCTTCCTGTAGATTGACCTATCTTGAGATTTTCTACCTTTGGAAATAACTGATAGATCCATTGTGGAAATCCATTGTTATTTCTCCTGAAGAGATGAAAAGTTCCATTGAGTTCAGGAAGAGCTTCAGAATGTTTTTTTTTCCCTTCGTACATTTTTTTCCCTCTTCCATTTCAATATGTCTGTCATTCGGAGATTTAAAAATGTTGATTTGGTTCATGCAGGATTACAACGTTCAGTTACCTCTTCATGATGATCTAACATTGTGTTATGAGTTGCGTCTCGTTTGCAGTAAAGGCACTCAATCCAAAACAAGAGCTTGGACGGCAGAGTCTGCACACTTAGCTTTCTGAAAATACCACAGCAACTGCTGTGTTTGGGTTTTGTCCCTTTTTTTATTTGAAAGATGAGAGCTATTAATTCAATGAAGAACTTAATCCCTTGGCGTTACGCAGCCGTGGCCTCCCTAGAACCTAGTCGTGGCATCACAGGAGTAGTCAGTCTTGTTCAGAACAAGAGACGTGAAATGAAGTTGATTCCATCTTCGTAGTAGCACTGTAATGTAGTCATATAGCTGCAGTGGTCTTCATTAGCCATCAAACACCTGAGAGCTGCTGTAGTGCATACCAATGCTTTTTGAAGACTTGTGCAGCTCAAGCAGATCACTCGCAGATTGCCCATACCATCAGGCTGTCCTGAAGAGGCAATATATTAGCATTTATTTCCTTTCTATACCACTCAGCTCTCCATCTTGTGTCATGTTTACTGATGAGTCCACAGCGCCGTCAACAACACCAACTTAGACAGAAATGGAAGTAAGCTGATTTTTGTACGTGCTGTCACTGTTTAAATTTGTCATTTCACGTGCACTGATGATGAGCATCTGTTTCACATCTTTTTTGTTTTTATGATAATTGGGAGACATACTATCTTTTCTTAGACATGTCTGGAAAAAAAAAACAGAAAGAAAGGTTTAAAATTGAGAGATGCTTTGAAAAGTGATTTTTAAAAGTTATGGAGTTTTGATTTTCTCTTTTCTAAACATAGTTACAACACCTTTTCCATTATTGGGTGCTTCCAGTGAAAAATGAATGGAAAAGCTGCTATTTCTTGCACAGTGCAGGAGGTTTACAGGATAAAAATAAATAGCCACAAAAGGAAACTTATATTTAATTTTTCATATAACCAGGCTTTGCATCAACCTCTTCCAATCTGCTTCCACCTGCCTTCAATACAAGCCAGTGTCTGAAATATTGTCATCAAGTTGTCAAAGCAAAGCCCCAGTCCTGCCACCAGTCTTAAACTTAATGTCAGTGTTGAGTTCAGTGAGGATTAGGTACAGAAAGGACAAGGAGACTTGTAAGAACTTAGCAGACGTTAAATAAAAAGGTTCCTTTGTGAGATCAGGGCAACATTAAATTTTGCTGAAAGCTAAGTTCATACCTGAGACTGGACTCTCACCCAAGAGTAAGGAACATGTAATTCTGTTAAAATGGTTATCTACAGCATATGGTTTAGCTTTTTTTTTAACTACACAACTATAACTAGACCTCTTCTATATGTATGAGAAGGAGAAGTTTCTTTAGAGATCTGGGATTCTTTCAGGACACACTGAGCAGAATGGGGTATCTGTCGTTGACTGATATCCTTGCTTTCATACTTTCATCCTAACAAATTCCTACAAGATTTATCTTGTCAAACTTTCGTCTGAACAGCACAAATTACTGGCAGAATTGTCAATCTAAAAAAGAGACAGGCATAAATTTAATTGCTCCCTGAAGATACATGAAAAGCTACATTTAGCTGCAGCTAATTAGATATTCTCCAATCAACAGTTGTGGTTTGTGTGCTGATGATCAAAACAATAAGGCCAATATAAGACAGCGAAAGATTAAAAATGACCATCCAGCACTTTGGGGCTGTTTTTGTTTTGTTTTTAATAAAGCCTACCTGTAACTCTGCCTCATAGCAATCCCAAAGGAACAGGGAGGAAGGAGTGAAACAAGTTTGGAAATACAGCTGGTATTGCACTGTATTGCAGCCCAAGGCTTATGTTACCTCAAGGGCATGAACTAAGGCATCTTGATTTTCCTGTGTAAGTAGGTAGCTTCACTAACATCATGCACAGCCTCCCTTCTGCCACCAAAGCTTCTCATATGCCTCCCCTAGCCATCTTTCCTAACAATATCAGAATAGACCGTAGAGCTAAAACTCCTGTAAGAAGGGACTGATATTGCTATTGCATTCCTGAGATGTTTTTGTGCTTGTTCTTTTCTGTTCACTGTCCTTTCAAAGCTGACTCAAAGAAACGGGTAACAAGCCTTACCAAACTCGTATCATTGCCTTTGCTTATAATGTTACTTTTCAGGTGCAAATTAATTCTCCTCCAAGGATCTTTACGTATCTGTTTAACAACAAACAGTGAATGCTGGGGGGGAAAAAAAAAAAAAAAGCCCATCTGAGGTGGAGTTGTCACCATTTTACAGGTAAGGAAATGGAGGCAAAAAATAGGTGGACTCGAAATTTGTCCACTGTCCATGTGTCCACACAAAGCAATGTCATAAATGACGCAGGGATCCCAGAAGCCAGTGCCTCTCTCAAACAAATGCTGCCGAGGAATGAAACCTCAGGAGCTGCTGCTATGCTCTTAAACTGAATTTACACTTGGAGTAAATGGAAGCAGAAATGAGCAGTGGGAGGAGAGAAAATGACAGACTGTTCTCAGTTACATCAGGTTTAGCAAGATGTTTTATCTCTTTGGGACTCCATCCTGTGCTTCTTGTGCACCTGAGTTTTGTTTTGGCTTTTAAAACACTGTATGGGAATTTAAAGGTTTGGTCATAAATTAAGTATGAAAATCAATTTCTGACTGGTTTTGTTCATGTGGTACCAGTAGATAAAACAATATTTTTGTTGTTGGTTTGTTTGCTTGTAAGAAAATAAATTACTTACACAAGTAAAAAAGATGAGCAGTAAGTAAAAAATCCCAAGGCAAGTCAGCATGAAAAGCTCTGTTTTGTATTTTTTTAATTTTTCATCTTCTAGTATTCCAGGACAACCTAAAACACAGAGAAATGTGTGTTACACTGTTCTGGCTTTTGTAAAATATTTCAAAACTGCTTTCTTCACAAAATGCCATGCAAAGCAATGGGGAACTGAGAGGCTCTGCTATACCTGATACTCTCAATGTGACTGTGCCACTTAGATTGCGTTCTCCGCTTTGCTCTTGCAAAGTGCATTTGTATGTCCCGCTGTTGTGGCTCGTAGCGTTTTTGATCCTCAGTGAAAAGAGGGTGTCGTTGGAGAGCTCCAGGGACCCACCAAGCTCTTGTGGAGAAGGAGAGACCAAATCCAGGACTTTCCACACTCTTCCTTCACCATGTTCAGCCACCTGGAAAACACAAATTCATATCTTGTCTTGAGCAAGGATGTCCTCCTGAGGTTTAGCAGAAAGACTCAGCTTGAGGCTGAAAAGAGGAGGAGAGGCAGGGGAGAGAGAAAAAAATGAAATATCTCCTCAGCTCCACACTTTTTTTTTTTTTTTTTTTTTTTTTTGCTTAAATACGCACTCTATTTACAAGTGTGTACTTGCACATACATAATTATTCTACAAGGCTTCCTCAGCTGAACATAGGGTTACCGTATCTGGTATCCGGTAAAGACGCAATGTGATATGGCAGAGTTTGCTCTCCAGAGCAGAGACAGTACCCAGGATGGATCAGGCTCTCTCGCTGCTTGGTGGCAGCCCCAGCTGTCCCCAGCAAGGGTGGCAGTGAGTGGCCAAGCTCCCCCATGGCCTCCCATGCCCTTTCTGTGAGGCCCTGGTGGGAATCAAATCTGTCCACGCCTGCAAATGCCCCAAGGTGCAGCAGTTTTGGCCACAAAGGTTAATGCCCTTCCAGCAACCTCACAGCCCAAAGGTCCTTGCGGGAATTTGTACTTCCCCGTGCCAGTTCCTGTGAAGTCGGCCTCTGAAACCACAGCACATATCTTGAGGAATGGGTATTTTTCTGCCTCCCTTCGACTCTTTATCGGAACCAATGAGCAAAAATTGCTCCGATTTCTTCAGACTCAGTTGCATGAAGGTCACAAACAGGTTTTGGTGCACTTTGGGAGCATTCATATATTGAATTTCTTAATTGCAACCAGAGCAGCTACATTCCTTGGCATTGCTGAGCAGATCCTGGAGGAATGTAGTGTATTCCCAGGACAGTTTGTGCTGTGGGGCAGTAGGACCCATTGCAAATAACAATTGGCTGGGCAGTGCAAAGAAGAGCCATATCACTAACTTAATTTGGAAGATGGTAGAAAGGTTTGAATTAGCCCATGCCCCTTCCTATTCATCGGTGTCGTTCCTTGGGATTGAAGGCAGCGTGCCCTCCATGAAGGTTTCTGCGTAATGAATTCAGTCTTTCTGCAGACCAGCAGAGCCAGAGCTGGATCATGCAGTCCAAGGCCAAGCTTTTCAGCCAAACCTATAGCAAATGCAAGCCAGGACTTTTTAACAGACACATTTTTGGGTTTCATGTTGATGCTTATTTTGTATCCATATAGCTACTGCATCAGGGTATAACACACTCTAAGTTATTAAAATTAATATTCTCTCACATTAAGTCTAGGAGGATCTGATTTCCCTTTCGTGGTTTTGCATAAGGAAAATGTGCTTGGGAATCCAGAAAGAAATAAGGACCTGATGCTCCTTCACGCTTTGCTACCTTTGGAGGCCCAAAGCAGCATAAAATAAACTGCAAGCTGGGGAACCTTTCAGGAACAAGGGAATCAGACTGAGGCACAAGATTTTCATCACTGTGAAGAACTTTTCTCAGAAAGCCTTTTTTAGTGCATCAACTGAAGCATGGAGCAGTAATTTCCTGGGGCTTTCCACACTTTACGCGGCAGTAGGGAAGAAAGCACCTACTTCCTCTTAATTCCCCTTCACCCCAGCTTCTCTTCCCTATTACACCGAACCCAGAAACAAGAGAGCTATAGTGTTTTTTGGCCTGTTGGGTCTTCACTTTGCTACAGGGATTAGATATTTTAAGGCCCAGCATGATAACAGAGAGATAGTCAGAGGATTTCAAATAGGATAGATTCCGGTCTGGCTACAGGTCAGTCAGCAGCAGTTAAATGGATAGAGTTGGCCTCCCTCAGATCTAACTTTTGAAATTCTCCTTTGCCCTTTCTCACAAAGCTGCCCACAGGGCACTGAAGAGAACCAGTCTAGCTGCTCTTAACTTCACCCTAAAATGCAGATTGCAGGCCTGATCTTCCTCAAGAAAATGAGACTTAAAATTCCACTGGAAAAAAAAAAAAAAAAAGCTTTCTTAGGCACTGGTAAACCGTGTTATTATCTTGTGTCAGAGCCCTGGGAATCAGAAAACATTCTGATCTTTCCTTATGCAGCTGCAAGCTCCACTCTCAATGTAAGGAAGAAATATGCTAAATCCATGCAACTTATGCCCCACAAGAGGCATTTCCAGGGAGATTCTTGCTTAATGGTTTGGCTTCTCTATTTTAAGAGGGAGCTGAGATACAGGATAGCTAATTGCCTCCAATTATCTCAAGGTGTTTGGTGGTTTAAGCATAGTTATAGGGCTGCCAAGGACTGTGAGACAAGTAGGTCAGAAGGGCTCATGCTCTGTGTAGTCCAAAGGGTTGTGCTGGAGGCCACGTGAACCACACACGTTTCCCCAAAGCAGCAGGAAAAGTTAACTCGTGGCCTAATCTGACTCTGTCAACTGGGGAGAAATCAGTTATGACCCACATGGGGATCTCAAACCTTTTCCCTAGGGAAGGAGGGACAGTTCATGATTTTGGTTATGGATTTTCCTTCCTCTTGCTTCCACTGGCTTTCTTCTTTAAAGAGGAGAAAAGGCAGTTCTCAGAGCTGCTTGTGACACCAGCATCTTCCCTACATTTTTTAGGCTGCAGAGACATCTGGTGGCATTTTTTCCAGCCTCTGCACATGCAATGCATCCATCCTTGCCCCGAGCTCACGGTAATCTTTCCCTGACGCTCCAAACCAAACCTTTTCCAGTGCAATCTTGTCTCTTATTGTCTTAGCGTAAAACTCCAAACCCTCCCTTTCTAAATTACTTGAGGAGCAGGAAAATATCTGAACCAATTTGCACAGTGTGTCCCCATATCACCACTGCTTAAAAGGACATCCACAAAATGTTCAGTCAAATCATCATTCGACCTCTTAACTATGCTATTAAAGCTACCTCTTTTTTTTCCCCCCCAAACCTACTTAAAATTACCAAAATGGCACTTTGTTTGCTACCTCCTATGAATTGCTTGGCAGGCTCTCACTAGGCAGATCATTTCGCAGCTCAAGTTGCTGTGATAATCCAGTGCTAATTCATGCCAAGGCTCCTCCAGGTAACAGCGCAGCACAAGGTAAGTGCTGGGGACTTTACCTAATTAATTCCACACCAGCTTAGAGGGTATCGATTTGAAGCACTGTCAGTGGCAGCAATCCACCTGTGTAGGGACCATCCTCTCCTTTAATCAGCCACCTTTCTGCCTCGATTTGTTTGTGTATCATTTTTCCTCCTGCACTGGTGTCGGCTGAGCTGCTGCCCACTGACTCCCGCCAGCTGCCAGGACTAAGGAAAGGGAGTTGGTCTTTCCCTGATTCCATTTTTTTTCTGTTAACGGCTCCACCAAAATTCAGAATGCCCATCGTGAATCACATGGGGACCACTGGAAATATATACTAGTGAATCTGTTTGCATAGAAGGGGACTCATTATTGCGGCTGCTAGGGATTATCAGAGCAAGATTTTTGCTGTGAAACGCTGCAAGCAGGCAGCATCCTTCTGCCTGCCTGCATAAAACTGTCTGTTAAGAAATGTGAGCAACAAAAGAAATGGGAGTTTATTTTTATTGTCACACATTTGTGACAGGCTTTTTTGGAAATCAGCCTGAAGGCTATTTCTGTTGTTTTCCACCGTCTTTGCAGCAATGAGAGGCAATGCTGAACCTCGTGAATTTGAACGCAGGGGAAGGCCCAGCCCGGCCCCTGGGAAGGAACGAGCAGCCCCCGGCACCAGAACAGGCCGGCGCCAAGTGGCTGCAGGGCAGCTGGGCAGAGAAGGCCCTGGGGCTCCTGGTGGCACCAGGGTGACCAGGAGGCAGCAGGGGGCCCTGCAGAAAGAAGCCTCGGGGCTGTGTTAGGCAGAACGTTGGCTGCAGGTCTCTTCTCAGTGGTGCCCAGTGAAAGAAGAGGTAATAGGCATAAACTCAGATGCAAGAACTGTTTTAAACATAAGAAAAACCTTTTCCCCTAGGAAGGTGGTCAAACACTGGGGCAGGTTGCTCAGGAAGTCTGTGGAGTACATGGCCAAGTCATAGTGAATAATTTACTAGAAAAAAATGTAGCCTT